ACTGATCATTGACAGTATGTGCTGGTTCGTTCCTGGGTGTTGGGAAACATCACTTTCCCACCTGTGCCTTATCTCTAGTGGTAGTGTTTTAACTGTTAAGCACTTTTCCTATAGATATGGTCCAATCTGCATTTAATGAGTAAAAAAAAAAGCATTTTGTATTTAAGTTTTTACGTCATATTCATACAAACGGATATATTTTACTGTTAATATCAGGGCTGGGGAAGCTATGTTTTTGGCTGCATTTGGCTAAAAGGAGGGGGATCTTTAACCACTCCAAGAATTGGTCCTTGTTTTATTTCCTGTTTTCTCAAGAAAAAAACAAACACAACATTCAAAATTGCATGATTCTACCCAGTCGGCGTGGGTGGCTCAGTGGTTGAGCATCAACCTATGAACCAGGAGGTCAGGGTTCGATTCCCGGTCAGGGCACATGCCCGGGTTGTGGGCTCGATCCCCAGTGTGGGGCGTGCAGGAGGCGGCCGATCCATGGTTCTCTCTCATCATGGATGTTTCTCTCTCTCTCTCCCTCTCCCTCCCCTTCCTCTCTGAAATCAATTTTTAAAAAATTAAAAAACAAATGAAGAACACAGGCAGAATTTTTAATCTCACCATTTAAATGTCACAGCGGTTTCCTTCCTGGAAATCTCGGGCGAACGGGGACCTTTAGGATGTGTGCTCGCAACGGCACTGAGAGACGAGGTGGGCGCTTCAGATTGGATTTGGGAGAAGCAAAGAGCAGAAGTCATTTCCTTAGACTCTGAGGCCGGAAATAACATTTAGAAAAAAGCATCCAGTTCGTCTCTTCCATCAGAACTCGGGCTTCTCGGGGCTGGGCCTCCCTGGAGGGTTTCTCTGTGTTTTCCTTCTTTTTTAAAAAATATTTTTAATTGATTTTTTACAGAGAGGAAGGGAGAGGGATAGAGAGTTAGAAACATCGATGAGAGAGAAACATCGACCAGCTGCCTCCTGCACACTCCCTACTGGGGATGTGCCCGAAACCCAGGTCCATGCCCTTGACCGGAATCGAACCCGGGACCCTTCAGTCCGCAGGCCGGCGCTCTATCCACTGAGCCACACCGGCCAGGGCAGCATTTACCTTTTTATGCCAACGTTTCTCGATCACCTTTGTTTTCTGAAATTCACTCTCTGACACAATCCGCAGGGGGTGCACAGAACGTGCCCTGAGTTCTCACCCGTTCGTCACTCAGCGCGGCCTTTTTAGATAACGCTTTGCGGTCACTCACCTGACACAACATCCTTGGTTCCTCTTTTCCCTTCCGTGAAAGCCTTTAAAACGCCGACTCGGGTCCTGGTACAAAGCGCTGATGTCAAACCCTGATGCTGCTCCGATTCTCTTGTGAGAGTGGACTATTCGTAGGTGTCCCAGGACCAAGAGGCAACCAGGACTGCCCTAGACGAGCTGGGATGTGTCGTCAGCTTCCGTATCAGGGGGCTGGTCTTTTCACTTGGGTCACCAAGAGATATTTTCTTTTTTAAAAAAAGATATATCTTATACTCGAGGCCCGGTGCACGAAATTCATGCACAGGCAGGGTCCCTAGGCCTGGCCGGCGATCAGGGCCGACCGGGACCTTTCGGCTGCTGGCCTGGGCCTTCCTTCGTTCCATGCTGCCCCCTGGTGGTCAGCGCACGTCATAGCAAGCAATCGAACTCCCGGTCTCCTGGTCGAACTCCCGGGGTGCACAGACGTGCCCTGAGTTCTCACCCGTTCGTCACTCAGCGCGGCCTTTTTAGATAACGCTTTGCGGTCACTCACCTGACACAACATCCTTGGTTCCTCTTTTCCCTTCCGTGAAAGCCTTTAAAACGCCGACTCGGGTCCTGGTACAAAGCGCTGATGTCAAACCCTGATGCTGCTCCGATTCTCTTGTTCTTGTAACACCGGGCGGCTCTGGGGAGAGAGAGTGGACACTATTTGTCGGCGTCCCAGGACCAAGAGGCAACCAGGACTGCCCTAGACGAGCTGGGATGTGTCGTCAGCTTACGTATCAGGGGGCTGTTCTTTTCACTTGGGTCACGAAGAGATATTTTCTTTTTTTTAAAAAGATATATCTTATACGAGAGACCCGGTGCACGAAATTCATGCACAGGCAGGGTCCCTAGGCCTGGCCGGCGATCAGGGCCGACCGGGACCTTTCGGCTGCCGGCCGGGGCCTTCCTTTGTTCTGCACCGCCCCCTGGTGGTCAGCGCACATCATAGCAAGCGATCGAACTCCCGGTCTCCCGGTCGAACTCCCGAGGGGACACTTTGCATATTAGCCTTTTCACTGGTTTCGGCAACCTTTTATATATACAGATATCTTTTTTAAAAATATACCTTTTTAAAAAAATATATCTTAAAAAAAAATATCTTTCAGAGAGAAAGGGGGAGAGATAGAAACATCAACGATGAGAGAGAATCGTGGATCGGCTGCCTCCTGCACGCCCCCCGCTGGGGATGGAGCCTGCAACCCGGGCCTGTGCCCTGCCCGGGAATTGAACCCTGACCTCCTGGTTCATAGGTTGATGCTCCACCCCTGAGCCACACCCGCCGGGCCCCGCCGCCTCTGTTCCCTCCCACAAACTGCCCTCTCTTGCTTCCCCTGCTGAAGATTCATTGCAGAGTAGGGTCCACTTTTTGAGGGGCAGACACTTCTCGGTGATTTCCACCTGGGGCCCCCAGGACAGGAGAACCCCCTTTCCTCTGCCCCCTGCGACCTCCACCCGCAGCTAACCCCACGTGTCCCCACGCAGGTCCTGATGGCGGTCGGGGTTCGGCCCCACATGCTCATACTCTGAGGTTCACGGGGTTCCGTGTCACCTGCGTGGACGATGCGGGCGGGAGGTTTTGCCTGTTGCTATCCCAGTTGCCCTGCATTTCTGAGGGAATCTGGAGGGAGTGAAACACGGATGCGGCCCTGGCTGGTGTGCTCAGTGGTTAGAGCACCGGACCTCGGACCAGAGGGTCCCAGGTTCGGTTCCTGGTCAAAGGGACGTACCTTGGTTACAGGTTCGATCCCCGGCCCCAGTTGGGGCTCCAGCGGGAGGCAACAATCGATGTATTTCTCTCATGTCCATGTTTCTTTCTCTCTCTCTCTCTGTCTCTCTTTCTCTCTCCTCCCTCCCTTCCACTCTGTCTAAAAAAAAAATCAATGGATCCCTGGCTGGTTTGGCTCAGTGGATGGAGTGTGGGCCTGCGGACTCAAAGGTCCCAGGTTCGATTCCAGTCAAGGGCACAAGCCCGGGTTGTGGGCTCAATCCCCAGTAGGGGGCGTGCAGGAGGCAGCCGATCAATGATTCCCTCTCATCATGGATGTTTCTCTCTCCTTCTTCCTCTCCCTTCCTCTCTGAAACCAATAAAAATACATATATTTTAAAAATCAATGGAGCCCGGCCAGCGTGGCTCAGTGGTTGAGCGTTGACCTAGGAATCAGGAGGTCACGGTTTGATTCCCGGTCAGGGCACATGCCCGGGTTGTGGGCTCGATCCCCAGTGTGGGGCGTGCAGGAGGCAGTCGATCCATGATTCTCTCCCATCACTGATGTTTCTCTCTCTCTCTCCCTCTCCCTTCCTCTCTGAAATCAATAATAAATATACTTTTTTTAAAAAATATATTTTATTGATTTTTCACAGAGCGGAAGGGAGAGAGATAGAGAGTTAGAAACATCGATGAGAGAGAAACATCGATCAGCCACCTCCTGCACATCTCCCACTGGGGA